CCATAACTCACCATAGCACCGTAGTTTCCGAGGAAGAGGCAGGAGGCCAGGGCAGAGAGGGGCCGCCGGATACAAGAGGAGAGTCCGGTTGAACGAGGACCTCTTGCCAACCTAAGGACCTGCACTGACACCATTAAACTGATGGAAGCCAAGACGAATTGTTGGCAGGAGAGCTTCACTGTAGGGGGGGGGGAGAGAAGAGGGGAAGGGAGGGTTAGAGATGTGAGGTGTGGTGGTGATGGGTGATGGTGGGGAAAATTGGTGATGTGGTGAAAATGGTGATGTAAAAGTTGGTGATGTGAAAATTGATGTGGTGGTAGAAATTGCTGATGTGGTGGTGGGTCTGTGATGGTGAAAATTGGTGATGTTGGTGGGGATGGTGGTGATATGGGGATGGAAATTGGTGATGTGGTGAAGACTGATGATGTGGTGGATATTGGCGATGTGGTGGTGGGTCTGTGATGGTAAAAAATAGTGATGTGAAAATTGGAGATGTGGTGAACATTTATGTGATGGTGAAAATTGGTAATGTGGTGGTGGGTCTGTCATGGTGAAAATTGGTGAGTGAAAATTGGAGATGTGGTAAAAATCGGCGATGTGGCGGATCCATGATGGTGAAAATGTGCGATAATGTGGTGAATCTATAACGATGAAAATGAGTGCTAGAGCGGTAGATCTATGATGGCGAAACTTATAACACTAACTGATTTTTGATGGTGAAAATTTGCGATAATGTGGCGGATGTAGGATAGTGAAAGTGATGGATAATGTGATGGATTTATGATGGTGAAAGTTGTGATTGTGTGATGGACCTGAAATCCTACTTTTTGGTGTGTGATGGATTTTTTCTACAATCTATTAAATTTTAGTGATAGAAAAATACACAATAACAAAAGCAAACACATCAATAAAAATAACTGAAACTTGAATTAAAAAAAAAAAAACATACATAAAAAGCACAAATAGAATTAAGAACTTGCTAAATCTGAATTAACAAAAAAATAGATTGAAAACAAGCAAAAAAATTGTATTTCTAAGAAGAATTAAAAAACGATATATACAAATCTACCCAAATTTATATCATAACCACAAAACTAAACCAAAATAGAAAAATATAAGTTAAAATATATCTAAAAAAGAAAAGAAGAAGAAGAAAAAGATAGAGAAGAAAAAAGAAATATCACCAAATGTAAACCATAAACCTATACATCAAATCCAAAAAATAAAAAATAATAATAAATAAAAATATTAAGAAAAATAAAATATCACCAAAAACCTACACCAAAACCAAATACCAATCTGAACCGAGGTCAAAAAAAGGTCAAAAGAAGGTCACCCGAAATAAATAAATAAATGAATAAAAAGAAGAAAAAAAACACCAAAAATCTCCACCAAAACCAAATCCCACTCAGAACCGAGGTCAAAAAAGGTCAAAAAAAGGTAAAAAAAAGGTCAAAAGAAGGTCACCCGAAATAAATAAATAAAAATAAAAAGAAGGAAAAAAACACCAACACCAAATCCCACTCGAACCGAGGTCAAAAAAGGTAAAAAAAAGTCAAAAAAAGTCAAAAGAGGTCACCTGAATAAATAAATAAATAAATAAAAAGAAAAAGAAAAAAAAACCCAAAAAATCTACACCAAACCAAATCCCAATCTGAACCGAGGTCAAAAAAGGTCAAAAAGGTGTCAAAAAGGTCAAAGAGTCAACCGAAATAAAATAAATAAATGAATAAAAGAAAAAAAAAAAAAACATCAAGACAAATCCCACTTCAGAACCGAGGTCAAAAAAAGTCAAAAAAAAGGTAAAAAAAAAAAAAAAGGTCAAAACCAGGTCACCCCCAAAAAAATTCACCTAAAGAGGCGTGGTCGACGCGTGACCCTATGACACTGACACGTAGATGAGGAAGATGAGGTCAAGGACGAGAACAAAATCCTCGATGGTGACCTTTCTCGCAGAAGGAGAAGGAGGAAAGACAGGGGAGGAAGATCTCGGCTTGGTGGAGAGAATGGTTTACTCGAATTTTGTTGTTGTTGGTGGTGGTGTTTGTTATTTTTGTTTGTTTGTTTGTTGTGGCTGTTGTTACTTTTGTTTTGTTGTTGTTGGTGGTGGGTGTTTGTTGTTTTTTGTTGTTACTTGTTGGTTGGTGGTGGTGTGTTGTTGTTATTGTTTTGGTTGTTGGTGGTGGGTGGTGGTGATGGCTGTTGTTGTTGGCTGTTGTTACATTTTGTTGTGGTGTGGGTTGTACTTTGTTGGTGTTGTTTGCTGTGTACTTTTGTTGTTGTTGTTTGTTGTTGTTTTGTTACTGTTGTTAGTGGTGTGTTTATGTTGTTCATGTTGGTGGTGTGGTGTGGTTGTTTCTGTTGTTGTTATTGTTTTGTTGGTTGTTGTTTCCTGATTGTTGTATGTTGTGGTGGTGGTATGTTATTGTTTTGTTGTTGTTAACTTTTGTTTTGTGTGTTGTGGTGGTTGTTATTGTTTTGTTGTTGTTGTTGTTACTTTGTTCTTTTGTTTTTTGTTTTGTTGTGTGGTGTTATTGTTTTGTTGTTGTTGTGTTGTTATTTTTTTTGTGTTGTTTGTTGTTGTTGGTGGTGGTGGTGTTATTTTTTGTTGTTACTTTGATTGTTGTTGCTGTGTTATTTTGTTTTGTTGTTGTTTTGGTGTGGTGTATTTTATTGTTTTGTTGTTGTTGCTTGTTGTTACTGTTGGTGTGTTGATGGTGTTTTTTGTTAGTTGTTGTTGTTTTTGTTATTGCTTTGTCGTGTTGTTACTGTTGTTGTTGTTGAGTGGGTGTTGTTGTTTATGTTTTTTGTTGTTGTGTGATTTGTTACTTTGTTTTTGTGTTGGTGGTGTTGTTTTGTTATTGTTTTGTTGTGGTGGTGGTGGTGGTGTGTTGTTGTTATTGTTTGTTGTTGTGTGGTGGTGTGGTTTTGTTGTTGTTATTGTTTGTTGTTGTTGTTTGTTTGGTGTGTGTTTTGTTTGTGTTTTTGTACGTTGTTGTTTGTGTTGTGTTGCTGTTTGTTGTGGGTGTGTTATTGTTTTGTTGTTGTTGTTACTGCTGTTGCTTGTGTTGTTATTGCTATTGTTGCTTTGTTTGTTGCTGCTGCTATTGTGTTGTTGTTGTGTTGTTGCTACTGCTGCTGCTGGTTTTTTTGTTGTTTGTTCTTGCTGTTGCTGTGCTGCTGTTGGTTCTGTCGCTGTTGCTGTTGTTGTATTTGACTTGTCTTTATTCACTTGAATTTTATCGTGTATTTTTCTTTCTTCCTTTTTTTTAGTTATTTGCTGTTTTCATTTTTTTTTTTTTTTTGAGGGGGGTGTAAAGTTATTTTGACTTATTTGTCTATCTGTCTATTTATCTATCTATCTATCGAGCTATCAGTCTTCTCTACTCTCTATATCATCTCCATCTCACTATATTCTTCTGTCTTTATTCTATCTATCATCTTCATATCTCTCTATCTCTCTTTCTCTCTCTTCTCTCTCTCTCTCTCTCTCTCTCTCTCTCTCTCTCTCTCTTCTCTCTCTCTCTCTCTCTCTTCTCTCTCTCTCTCTCTCTCTCTCTCTCTCTCTCTCTCTCTCTCTCTCTCTCTCTCTCTCTCTCTCTCTCTCTTCTTCTATCTATCTATCTATCTATCTTCTATCTCTATCTATCTCAGTCTCTTTCTTCCTATCTTCCTTCTTACAAATGTAGATATCAGAAGATCCCTATATCTCTATCTCTATGTCTATCTATCTATTATCTATTTCTATCTCACAATCCCAAACTCTATATAGCTACCCTTCTTTCTCTCTATCCTTATCTATCTCTCCATTTCCCTATTCTTGTCTCTATCTTATCTCTTTATATCTCTCAGTCTCTCTATGATCTATATCTCTATCTCTATCTCTATTATATCTATCTCTCTATATCTCTTACTATTTCTACCTCTCTACCTCTCTATATTTCTATCTCCCCATCATTTTTTCCATCCTCTCTATCTCTCTGTCTCTCTCTCTCTCTCCTCACTCTCTCTCTCTCTCTCTCTCTCCCTCTCCCTCCCTCCCTCCCTCTCCCTCCTCCCTCTCCCTCTCTCCCTCCCTCCTCTCCTCTCCCTCCCCCCTCCTCTCCCTCCCTCTCCTCTCCCTCCTCTCCCTCCCTCTCCCCTCCCTCCCCCTCCCTCCCTGGCCTCCCCTCTCCCCTCTCCTCTCTCCCTGCGTACAGACGGCCGCACGAAGATCGTCGTGGTGCTGCTGGGGGCGTGGCGACGGAGCCTGAGGGAGAGGGCGACGTCGACGTAGACCTCAGGGCAACAGGGGTAGGTCTTCGGTTCCTTGGTCGAGTTGGCCTCCAGGACCTCCCACGTCGAGCCGGTCATGTTGCTCTCCTTGCCGGTCAGAACTTGAACTGGGTTGAGGGGGTGGGGGAGGAGGAGGGGAGAGGTTGTGGGGGGGAGAGGGGATGGGGAGGGGTAGTGGGGGGAGGTGAGGTGAGGAGGTGGAGGGGGAGTGGAGGGGAGGGGGGAGGGGGTTGGAAAGGGAGGAAGGGAGAAAAATGGGGAGGGGAGAGAGAGATGGCGGGAGGGGAAGGAAGTGGAGAGGAGGAGGGAAGAAGATAAAAGGGGAGGGAAGGGGAGAGAGAGAAAGGAGGAAGAAGGAGGGAGAAATGAGAGAAGGAGAGGGGAAAGAAAAACGTTCTATTAATCATTTATTATTAATCATTATTGTTGTTATTGCTTTTACGGTAATTAATGTAGTTGGAATGTTTTACTCTCCTACAATCATCATTATTATCATAATTATCTTTATTGTCAATATTACCATAATTATTGATATTATCATTGTCATCTGCGGCATAAATATATTATTATCAAAATCATCATCTGCTCTCTCTCTCTCTCTCTCTCTCTCTCTCTCTCTCTCTCTCTCTCTCTCTCTCTCTCTCTCTCTCTCTCTCTCTCTCTCTCTCTCTCTCTCTCTCTCTCTCTCTCTCCCACACACACATACACAACCCTCCCCCCACACGCATACACACAACCCCCCACCCCCCACACACACAACACACCCCTCTCCCCATCCACCCTACACAACCCCCTCTCCACCCCCCACTCCCCACCCCACACAACCCCAACCCACCCCCCCCCCATCCCTCCCAACCCCCCCCCCCTACTTACCTCAGGAGGCGACTGGATATCGAAGTCAACCATGAGAGCCGACTGAGTCCATGACCCGACCGTGATGTTGCAAGCGTGCGTGTCACGTGGCCACAACCTCAGGTCAGCGGCGCACGATGACCTGAGCTTGGCGGGGGGAACCCACAGCACCGAGCCTGTGGACCTGACCACCATGGGCTGGTCGTCGATCACCCGGATGTCGTCGACGCTCGGGTGTGTGGAGTGACAGGGGGTGGGGGGGGGGGGTTGATTGTATCATTTGCGGTGATTTTTTTTTTTTTTTTTTTTTTTGAGAAAAGTGGGAGATGGGTGATTTTCCGATGTTGAGTGGAGGTGGAGGAGAGACACAGACAGAGAGACAGAGACAGACAGACAGACAGAGACAAAGAGACAGACAGAGACAAAGAGACAGACAGAGATAGGGACAGAGACAGAGAGACAGACAGACAGACAGAGAAACAGACAGACAGAGACAGACAGACAGAGAGGCAGAGACAGAGGAGAGAGAAAGAGAGAGAGAGAGAGAGAGAGAGAAAGAGGCAAATCAAGAGACAGAAGGAAAGAAGCGAAAAAGAGAGACAGAAAAAGACAAAAACAGGCAATGGAAATTTTAAATCCCACAAACACGATTTTTATAGCAATATTGTACCAATAATAGACAACAGTAATTGCTATAAATACATAAAATTAATGTACTATACTGATACTATACTGGCAATGTACTCTGCCAATAGTGTACAAAGCATATACTATCTTAACACTACTAATTATATGCTATACTACTATACTTTATCATACTAATATACTAAAGGAATATACTATACTAACGCGTTGTAGGTTGTAATATCAGGTGACCACAACATGTCCACAGGAACGGAGAGGAGGTCCACACCACCATACTTCGCCACGTCCCACTTCAAGCGGTCATCTTGCCATTGCTGAGGGTGCGAGACGGAGGGGGGGAAAGAACGTTAAAATATGAGAATGAGTGATATGAAGTGAAAAAAAAAATCGTTAAGTCAGAGGTGGATTTCCCGTTTTCTGTCTCAAATTTTACGTTTTCTTTTTATTTATTTATTTCGTTTTCTATTGTATTATTAGTTTTTCTTGTATATATATTTGATCTGTTTTGATAACGAAATCAAGGAGGAATTATAAAGAAAAAGATGAAATATGAAACATCGTAAAAAAAACTTACGAAGTTCAACCAGCAGAACATTTCAATAGCGTTGGTTTTGTCATCCTGTAACAACATAAAACAATAATTTAGTTTTTAATGTGATGTTTAGTTGTACAAACTGCACACATGTGTAAATTTATATGTATCATAACCACTGAGCATAATGTAATATCACCCGTGTTGTCCATAACCATAAGGAAGCTAATGGTGTGGCGTGAAGAGATATGTTAGTGAAATGGGCAGTGTATTCCCGTAGACTTATTCCAATACACACTGGTTTGATATACTGTATATGAAATGTATGTGTGTGTGTGTGTGTGTGTGTGTGTGTGTGTGTGTGTGTGTGTGTGTGTGTGGTATATATGTGTGTGTGTGTGTGTGTGTGTGTGTGTGTTGTGTGTGTGGTGTGTGTGTGTGTGTGTGTGTGTGTGTGTGTGTGTGTGTGTGCGTGCGTGCGTGTGTGGCGTGCGTGCGTCCTCTATAGACCTTACAAACCACACCTACACACTCACAAATCTACTTCTCACACACACACAATTACCGCCCACCCACCCAACTACCACACTCCCCCCCCATCCCTCCCCCCTTTCCCCCCCACCCCCCAAACAAACCAACCCAACACACCCTCCCATCTCCCCCCTCCCCACTCCCCACACCCCCACACCCCCCACACACCCCACAAAACCTCCTTACCAGCTGAACATCCCTAATGAACGGCCCGTTGAACGAAATGATCGTGGTGTTATTCGGCCGAACGTTCTTGTCGTAGTTGCTGAACAAATCCTTTCTCAGCTGTTCTTCCATCCTTGGCCATGGCGGGGATTCTTCGCTGGTTACTGAGAGCGAGGAAGGGATAATAAGTTTAGAGATTGGAATGTATTATCATTATTATTATTATTTGATATTGTTATTGTTATTATCTGATAATAAGTTTTAGAGATTGGAAATTATTATTATTATTATTATTATTGTTATTGTTATTGTTATTATATTATCTGATAATAAGTTTGGATTAGAGATTGGAATGTATTATCATTAGTATTATTATTTTGTTATTGTTATTGTTATTATCTGATTAAGTTTAAATTAGAGATTGGAATGTATAATTATTATTATTGGTATATTGTTATTGTTGTTATTATTAGTTATTATTATGTTATTATTATTGTTAT